CCCCCCCCCCCAGCCATTTGTTAAAAGTATGCACAACGGTTGGGCAACAAGTGTTAGGGTCCTCCTCTATTTGTGATCAAGCATTTCTGATAAAGAGGCATCTTCTAAGATTAATTTGCACTCTGCAGACACATGGCACCATTGAATTCTGCAGCGTTATTGAATGGACATTTGTGGATGTGCAGCTCCATCGAAGCTAGTCTTGTCTTAACTCCTCCAACACTCCTCTTCCCCAATTGTGAGGACAGTGCCCATGAATAAATACTCTAGAAGTTGATCACAGAGCAAAATGTTCCTATCCTGGGAGGGCATAGCAAGGGGAGGGGGAGGGGGAAGGGGAGTGTAAAAGTTCTGAAAGTATTTCTTACACTCGTGTTGTAAAATCTCCTACTCTGCAGATTCTATATTTTACCTAGTATGCTCAGAGCGGGCTATGGAATTTTAGCAATGAATTATTGTGAAATGTTGGTGCTTGCGGCTGTAGTTTATTATCTAGTTTAACCTGCCCTTATTCTAGTTTTATTCTGTTTAATAGAGTGTTCATATTAGGTGCTACTGCTATGGGTGTGTAAATGAGGCTCCAGTTGCTGAGAATGACCCTGTGTGACCTGGATGGCTGGGCTGCAGGGGAAATGGGAGAGGCCTGACTTTGGAAGAAGCCATTCCCCACGTAATGCCTGACTCGTGCTTTCCAAAGTGTTTGCCGGGTCTTTTCTGTGGTCTTTATAAAAACGGGTTTAGTGCAAGAACACTAGATCTTTGTTTAAAAACTCAGGGTTAGCACTTTCTTGAGAGCACACTAGTTCGGTACTGCACAAATCTAGAAAAGAGAGACAATACCACTGGGTATTGTTGCTTCTTTCACCAGAGAACATTGGAGCGTTTCCACTGTGTCTGCTGACAAATGGTTTTGTGTGGCCATACTTTTTACTATTTATATTCCTTTGGGGTTGGAGTGTTGTGGTACTAGTATCCTTAAAGTCACTTCAGTAAACATCTTGCAAGACAAAAGGGAGACAGACAGGAGTCCTCCAAGGAGCAGGAGAATAGGAGCTGAAGGATTTAGTTGCCCGTTCTTATTCTTATTCTTCTTTCCAGGTGCTGGAGGACAGAATGGAGAAACTCCAGATGGCTCTTCACACTTTTCTACGTGGTGAGTTGTTTGATTCGTTGAACTGGTCACCGTTATAACAGCATCAGTGGTTTGGGGGCTATCAGCCCAGAAAAAAAAACACCGATTGCATTTCTTGAAGGTTTTGATATGGTTTTCTTTTTTAAATTTAGGGAGAGCTCAAGCAACACAAATACAAAAACACATCGAGAGTAACAGCAGAGGTGACCAAGCCAGGCTCCTGCTGCACCAGGAGCCCAGAGGATGGGGATGCTTGCCTGCCTGCTCACTCAGAGGCCTTGCGGATTCAGTGCAAAGGGAAAGTGCAATCAAAATTGTCATTTCTCCCATGCTATGGTTTAGTTGCTGGCCATCACTGGTGCTGTGAGGACTGCTCCTATCCGTCCAGTTGCCAAGCTCTGAATCTCAGGATTGCTTTACTCAGGTTCGGGAAGCTGCAATTCCCCTCCCCCAATCCCCAATTATATTATTTCCATTGTTCTTCTATGTGCCACAAACCTATCTGCAGACTGACCTCCAGCCTATCTTTTCTCAGCATTAAATTGCTGGCACAGACCTCATTTCTTTCTGTTGTGGTTCTTGAAGTCCTGTGGCCCTGAGCCAGCTTCTGCTTAGAAAGGACACAGGCTCATTTTTCCAGTTGAGCATGAATCATCAGTTGCCATCTTACTATGAGTAGTTTGGGCCTAACATAAACTGTAGTCTGAGTCAGCAGTAGCCAAGTGTATTGGCCCACAGCTTGAGAACTAAGGTATATGGCCAATCACTGAGAATTCTCAGAGTTCTTCTTTACATTTGGTAGGATTGGAGAAATCTAGCCTGGGCATTTTTTAAAAATGTCTTCCTACTTCTGTCAGGTTTGGAGGTAATATGGGCTAATGACTTTGTGTAGCTCAACACTTTCTAGAATAGTTCTGCTCATAACCCATAAGCCATTGTGCTTATGGCTTGAAGGACTGAGATGAAGTTGCTCTATAATTGTGTAAACAAAGAGGTGCTGATGCAATACCGAGCTTTTCTTTTCTCTGCCATGTGCTGCCACTTATTGCAGAGTTTGTAATATAGATTATAAAGATGTAATTAAAAGAAAACAAAAGTAGCTTGGTTGTTATTGTAGCCACTGCATGTGAACTGCATTTTATTAGTTAAGGGCCCTGCTACCTACTGAGCAGAAAAGCATCCACATTTTTATTTTAAAAAAATTGAAGGGGAGGTGTGCCACTTTTCCATATTCTCCTAAATTTCTCTCCATGGAGCTAATATTAATTTTAAATGGAAGCTAACAATGTTTTTGCCCCATCAGCTTCTGTAAATACCGCAGCCTGTTTCTGTTTGGATAGTTTTGGTTCACATATGCTTTCAAGAAAGTTATGCCTTGATGGATTAAATTAGAAATGAGGTAGATCTGAACTGTCTGTCAAAGAGGATGGTAGCACTTAGCTGACCTTGGAAAAACTAGACTAACTTGATCCTGTCTAATACTTAGATGGAAGACCACCAGAGAATGCCAGCGCTATGAGCTGGCCAGAAAACAAAAAGCAAAAATGACATTTACCAAAGATAACAACAGCAAACTATTTTATTGTTTCATAGATGTGCCCTGAGCTGTATTTCAAGATATTATCTTGAAGCCTCCAGCTCAGAAAAAAAGCAAAGAAATAAAAGAGGATTTGTCTAAGCTTGAATCACTG